GCAGGGGAGGGACAGATAAAGAGCAGGGGACAGAGGATCTGAAGCAGGCTCTGCACTGACAGCAGTGAAGCTGATGTGGGACTCAAACACTCAAACCGCGAGATCATGACCTAAGCCAAAGTCAGACGCTCAACCAACTGAGCCACCCAGGAATCCCTGAATTGGCACTTTTCTATATTCCTTTTTTCTTCAGCTGTTTTAGAAACTATATATTAACATCTTAGTGATTGCTGTTGATTTTTTAACTGCTCTATGGAGGTACAATTGACACACTATAAACTATGTTTAAACCTTACAATTTGGTAAGTTTTGGCATATGTATAAATTCCTGAAACCATCCTCAAAATCAAGATAATAAACATATCTATAATCCCGCCAAATTCTCCATGCCCTTCCTTATGTTCTTCTTATTCTTGATGCTGGATTCACTCTCATTGCTAGGTGTGGATTAATTTTTACCATCCTCTCATGTAATGGAAGTGCACTTTTTTCTTCTTTTCTTTTTTTTTTTAAATGTTTACTTATCTTTGGGAGAGCACAAGTCAGGGAGGGATAGAGACAGAGGGGGTAGAGGAGACTCTGTGCTCAGCAGCAAGTCCAGTGCGGGGCTGGAACTCATGAACCATGAGATCATGATCTGAGCTGAAGTCAGATGCTCAACAGACTGAGCCGCCCAGGTGCCTGGGAGTGTACTTTTCGGTTGAAAATTTTGGAAACCTCTCAGTCATTTCCAAGTATTCACTACTCAGCCACTCCCTTTATTTATTTTTTCCTCCTGGAATTGTTAGGTATATACTGGAAGCTCTCGATCAATTCTTAACATATCTTCACTGCTTTCATACTTCTATTATTTATCTCTCTACTTCATCCTGGGTAAATCCCTAAAGCTTATTCTATTCGGGATTTTACTTCAATCAGTAACTTCACTTTCTTATTTCCAAGACTCTTTTTTCATATCCACCTGTTTGTATATCACTTCTGCTTATTTTTTATTTCCTAGTATTTTAAAATGTTATAATTCACTTATATTTTGGTGAATCAAGTGCACTGGTTTTAAGATATCTTCCCGGTATCTCTGTTATTTTAAATGTATATGGAGTGAATTCATCTTCTGATTTCGTTGGCTCACTTAACCTTAGATCTTTTTTTTTTTAATTTTTTAATGTTTTATTTCTGAGAGAGAGAGAGAGAGAGAGAGTGTATGATGAACAGGGAAGAGTCAGAGGGAGAGGGAGACAGAATCAGCAGCAGACTCCAGGCTCTGAGCTAGCTGTCAACACAAAGCCTGACATGGGGCTCGAACCCATGAACTGTGAGATCATGACCTGAGCCGAAGTTAGACGCCCAACCGACTGAGCCACCCAGGCGCCCCAACCTTAGATCTCTCTATGGGTTCTGGAACTATGGACTGCAGATCATTTTGAATGGGGATGGGTAGGGTTTCGGTGTCTCTGTGAGAACACACGCGCATCCAACTATTCCTGTTTTAGCTGTTCTGCGACCGTATTCCCTGGGGCCCTGAAATCCATAATTAAGTCCTATGTAGTTCAGTGCTCCCCCACCCCGCCCAGTGTTAGTGGGTACATCACAGATCCAGGTGTTAAGCCAGAGAATGGCTTGATCTGGATGAGAAAATGCAAAACCAAGATTAAGCCCCTGGCCTGGCCGGGATTCAGTCTCTGAGGGAAACGGCTGAACGCTAAGAGTGCTATTAGAGAAAAGGTGCTGTGCTACTGTGCACAGAACCTAAAATGCTGCTGGTGTGGAGACTGAATGGTGGGACACGAAGGAGTCAGGAAGATGAGGGAGCAGTCGTGAGGATATGACGCACTTGGGAAAGACAAGAGTCATCAGTAAGAGTGAGGTTCATATTGTGAAAGGGTAACGAGATTAAGCTAAAAAGGCAGGTCTGGGTCAGCTCAAAAGTTTCTTTCTAATGTCATGTTAGGGAGTTTGCATTTATAATAAAATTGGAAGCTTATAAAAATAATTTTTGAGAATAGCATTAGAGTTGGGTATTAGGAAAACCAATCTGTTATAAGGGTAATGCATGCACTGCAGGAGAAAGGAAAATCTGTCAATAAAAACACTAAATTTTTTAAAAAGTTGGCTTGGAGGGGGCAGCTGGGTGGCTCAGGCAGTTAAGCGTCAGACCTCTTGATTCAGTGCAGGTCATGATCTCATGGTTTGTGAGTTTGAGCCTCGCGTCAGGCTCTGTGCTGACAGTGCGGGGCCTGCTTAGGATTCTCTCTCTTGTGTTCTTCTCCCGCTGTGTTCTCTCTAAAACAAACTTAAAAAAATAATTTTTAGAAAAGTTGACTTCAGTTAGTGGTAATGGTAGAGATAAAGAAGGGCCTTTGTTTAGGAGGAATTTAGGAGACAGATCGGGGTGTAGGAAAACCTAGGATCATTATCAGATTTAAAGCTTTGGAGATTAGTATAATTTTAGAGGTGGGAAACACAAGAATGTTAAGGAAGAGGTGCAGAGTGAGGGTTGATATGGATGCAAAGTCTTTTTTTTTTTTTTAATATTTAAATGTTTATTTATTTTTGAGAGGGGGGGAGGAGGGGCAGAGAGAGAGGGAGACACAGAATCTGAAGCAGCTCCAGGCTCTGAGCTGTCAGCACAGAACCCGATGCGGGGCTCAAACTCACAAAGCACGAGATCATGATCTGACCTGATGTTGGATGCTTAACCATCTGAGCCACCTAGATGCAGAGTTGTATTTTGGACATTTTGTGTTTGAGATGCCTGTGAAAGTCAGAAACACTCAGGGGGAAGGTGAATTATGGGTATGAATGTATAGATTTGAAAGTCATCAGCACCTAGGAGACCTTACTGCACAAGCTGAGGCTCAGGAGAGAAACAGATGGCGAACATGCACAGCTAGCGGCTGGCGGGGGTGGGGAGAGAGGGGAAGAGGAGGAGGTACTTCTTCCCCATTCTTGGTATTTCTTTCCATTTAGGAACACACAGCATTCTTATTCTCCACACCTCCTCAGGTCTACTGGTGAAGGTTAAATGAGGCCACAGGGTTGGGGCCCTAATCCAGTAGGACTCATATCCTTTTTTTTTTTTAATGTTTTTTATTTATTTCCAGGAGAGCGAGAGACAGCATGAGCAGCGGAGGGTCAGAGAGAGAGGGAGTCACAGACTGAAACAGGCTCCAGGCTCTGAGCTGGCAGTCAGCACAGAGCCCGACGCGGGGCTCGAACCCACAAACCGCAAGATCATGACTAAGTGAAAGTCGGACGCTTAACCGACTAAGCCACCCAGGCGCCCCAGGACTCATATCCTTCTAAGAAAAGGAAGAAACACCGGAGATCCCCCAGGCCCACCTTGTGCACAGAGGGGAAAAAAAAAAACCCGTGAGGACACAGGAAGTCAGCTCTCACCAGACACAAATCGTGCCGGCACCTAGGTCTTGAACTTCTAGCCTTTAGATCTGTGAGAAAACAAATTTCTGTGCTTTAAGCCACCCGGTCTGTGGTGTTTTCTTATGGCAGCCTGAGCTCACACACACATAACGTAAGAAACTTTTATCCCAAGGAGATTTATTACCAAATGGAGGTGAGAAAAGGGTTAAAGGAAAAGGTCTAACCTGAATTCACAGCAGGATGACTAGAATGCTTTCAGTTTTCTTTCTCCAGTCTCGCCAATCACTAGATTGCATGTTCTGAAACTTTTCAAACAAGTTCACGTGAGAAGAATGTCCCCTGGCACGTGTGGGGAGGGTCTCCGGGGCCTGCGTTTCCCACACGTACCCCGGGCAAAGGCACGCAGTTGTCCTGAGGCGCGCTGGTGAAGAGGCCGCCGAGGTGGACATCCAGGCCACACGCGCCCTGGCACAGGTTGGAGGAAGTGCAGCTTTCTTCGCACACAGACATCCTTGGCTCGCCGAGACGCTTGCACCTACAGGCGTGTAGCAACCAGAGTTGGACCTTCCCTCTTCTCACAGACACTGGCTTGTAGGGTGGCCTTCATTCCAGCTGATTCTGACTCAGGCCATCAGCAACCACCACATACTACAGATGTGGAAATTCTACGTGGGACCCAAGATTCAGTAAGGAAGCACAGCCATACGTTTTTGTAGGAATGATGTCAAAAGACTGACACTCCATGATACAGAGGAAGGTTTGCTAGAACAGGCCGGAAAATCACCTTAGAATGATAGCTTAAGCCACAGAACAAAAAAATGGAGTGGCATCTTGGACTGGCAATAGTTTTTCCTTTGGTGTTTACCTAAGAAACCCCAATATTAAGGCAAGTCTGTTCCCTGGAGAATTGACATATACTATAGAAAACGCAGAGGAGTTAGTTCCGTCATTGCTTATTACTCACAATGGTGGATGTTTAGGTGATTTAAATTAAACCAGAGGGAAGCAAAAGCTTGCGTACGCCATCCTTGACAAGGGAGATGGCAGACAACATTTATTTTTGGCAATATAAATTCCACGACACAGATGCTCTCGCCACGAGAGAAAATGAAAATGAAAATTCACTATGAGAAAAAACTGAAAATCTCAGTACAAATTTAAATATGGAGGCCTGGTAATAGCAGACCGAGGTGTTTGAGGGGAAACATTTCCGTCTGTAACATTTCTTCAATCAAGCTATGGTTTCAGAATTGATTTTAATTTTATTTTAGAGAGACAGCGCGAGTGGGGGAGAGGGACAGAGGGGGGGAGGGAGAAGGAATCTCAAGCAGGCTCAAAGCTCAGCGCAGAGCCCGATGCGGGACTGGATCCAATGACCCTGGGGTCATGACTTGAGAGGAAATCAACTGCCCAACCGAGCCACTCAGGCACCCCAAGGTCTCTGAATTTATTTATTTATTTTAAATGTTTTATTTATTTCTAGAAGAGAGAGAGAGACAGCGTGAGCAGGGGAGGGTCAGAGAGAGAGGGAGTCACTGACTGAAACAGGCTCCAGGCTCTGAGCTGACAGTCAGCACAGAGCCCGACGCGGGGCTCGAACCCACGAACCGTGAGATCATGACCTAAGCGAAAGTCGGACGCTTAACCGACTTAAGCCACCCAGGCGCCCCCGAGGTTTCTGAATTTAATAAAGATATTACTACGCTCTTGGATGACACTGCTGAAAACTGCTGGGAAGGCAGCAGAGAAAAATGGTCCTTTCAGAAGCAGCAAGTCTTGTCCATGGGAATCACAGGGAGGAGACACCTCTTTCCTCTTCCTGGATAATTTGGGACCTTTGTCAAGGAGCCGGCACGTCCTGCCTGCCATCTATCTGGCCAGGGTGTCCGAGGCCAGTGCTCTGTGAATCCCTTACCCCGTTTATACCATGGACCCAACAGAGCTGCTAGCTCCACCTAAAAGCTGTCACTGCTGCCTTTCCACATGGCGGCTTGACCTAGACACTGAAGGCTTTTCCCTGGCATGTACTGCGATATGGGTGTTGAGTGCCCCCATGTACGTAAAGCTCCTCCCACAGTCCTCACAAGAAAAAGGCCTCTCCCCTCTGTGATGGTGCAGATGGGTCTTCAAACTTCTCTTCTGGAGGAAGCCTTTGCCACACTCGGGACAGCTGAAGGGCTTCTCGCCACGATGCGTATGCAAGTGGACCTTCAAACTGCCCCGTATGCAGTAGCTTTTGTCACACTCGGGACACTGGAAGGGCTTCTCACCGCTGTGGACTCGAATGTGTTCGGTGAGCCTGTACTGCTGAGTGAAACTTTTGCCACACTTAACACAGGCGAATGGCTTTTTGTCGCTGTGCTGGAGCAGGTGGCTTTTCAAATTTCCTTTGAGACGGAAACTTTTACCGCACTCGGGACACTGGAAGGGTTTCTCTCCGCTGTGGATTCTCTGATGTTCAGTGAGCTGGGACTGCTGGGTGTAGGTCTTCCCACACTCACCGCATACGAAGGGCTTCTCACCCCTGTGTATCCGCTGGTGGAACTTCATGGAGGCCTTCCAGTAGAAGCTCTTGTCGCACTCAGGACACTGGAAGGGCTCCTCCCTGCCATGGAGTCTCATGTGCTCAGTGAGGTGCGAGTGTCGGCTGAAGCTCCTGCCGCACTCGGGACAGGAGAACGGCTTCTCTTTGGTGTGGACCTTGAGGTGCTCCGTGAGCCTTGACTGCCGAGGAAACATCTTCTTGCACTCGTCACAGGAGAATTCCTTTGGCCTGCTGTGAACTCTGCTATGGCGAGCGAGCTTAGAGGGCCGGGTAAACCTCTTGCCACACTCCCCGCAGGAGAATGGCTTCTCCTCGCTGTGCAATCGCTGGTGGGCCTTCATGGCGTTCTTCCAGGAGAAGCTCCTGCCACACTCCGGGCACTGGAAGGGCTTCTCCCCACTGTGCTGAAACAGATGGGCTTTCAGGCTTCTCTTCAGGCGGAAGCTTTTCTCACACTCGGGACACTGGAAGGGCTTCTCCCCCGTGTGAACTCTGCTGTGTTCTGTGAGTTTCGTCTTGTGTGTGAATTTCCGACCGCATTCGTCACAAGAAAATGGCTTCTCCGCACTGTGTGTCCTCTGGTGGGCCCTCACGGCGGCCCTCTGGGAGAAGCTCCTGCCACAGTCTGGGCAATAGAAGGGCTTCTTCCCGCCGTGCTGGCAACGGTGGGCCTTCAAACTTCTCTGCAGGCGGAAGCTCCGGTCACACTCAGGACACCGGAAGGGCTTCTCGCCAGTGTGCACCCTGAGGTGCTCTGTGAGCTTGCACTGCTGGGCGAAACGCTTGTCGCACCGCTCACAGGAAAATGGCCTTTCCCTTCTGTGCAGACACAGATGCTTCTTCAATGTGGCTTTACACTGGAAGGTCTTGTCACACTGGGGGCATGGGAAGGGCCGCTGGCCCATGTGAAGCACCTGGTGACCCATCAGGCTGCACCTCAGGGAGTAGCTCTTTGCGCACTTGCCACACTGGAAACGCTTCTTCCTGCACAGGCTCGGCCGGTTCCACCTGAGTTCAGAGTTCCCTCTGGATTTGTTTTTGTACTGTGGGTACTTACAGGGCTGGCTCCTGGCGTGGTTTCTTTTGTGCTTTACCAAGTCTCTCTTTACATGGAAGACCTTCCTACACACAAAACAGGAATAAAATCTTGGCCCTGGTGGTGGAATATCCAAGTGACCCAGGGTACCTATGAGCGTAGGTGATGGATCGGTCTTATCCTGATTAGATGCTCTGATGTCAAGGTTTTCTGGTAGAATCCCTACTTCTTGGAGACTGGGATGCTGTAAGGTGGCTCTTTGATTTGGGAAGCTCTTTTTTTCCTCCTCTGGTAAGGTAGCACATGAACCCTGCTTTTCGAGACCATTTAAATGGCATTCCTCCTCTTTTGCCCCAAGACTTCCTTGGTCATCTGGAGAGAAAAAAAGAAGACCCACCCTTACTAATGATGTATCTGTGCTACAGTGGGGCAAGAACAGTCTTCACGTCACTAACAGCGTGGGACAAGGAATCCCATTGATCTTGATGACTTTGTGTATCTGCTTGCCACAGGCCAAGTATATTTAACTGTCATGTGCAGATCTTTCCATCATGTGTTAAGAAATGGCTGAATGTGGGAAAAAAAACAGCAGGCAAATATATCTTGTGAACCTATACTTAACCTGCTTAGAGGATAAGCAGAAGTTGAAAGAAAATAAAATGAGCTGGTCTGAGAATAGGACCATTCTATTCTAGTTCCTTAAATCTGTGAAATAAATCGCATAATACTTACTTATGAAGGCTTTGGGTCATATTCTTGCCCCTTCTACCACGGATTTCAGGAAAAGCTTTCTGGAAGAAATGCTAATAGGATATCTTTCTCAGGGGAGCCTGGGTGGCTCATTCAGTTAAGTATCTGACTTTGGCTCAGGGCATGATCTCGCAGTTCACGAGTTCGAGCCCTGTGTCAAGTTCTCTACTGTCAGTGCAGAGCCCACTGCAGATCCTCTGTCCTTTCTCTTGCCCTCCCTTGCTTGTGCTCGCTCACTCTCAGAAATAAACATAAACAGGGGCGCCTGGGTGGCTTAGTCGGTTAAGCGTCCGACTTTCGCTTAGGTCATGATCTCGCGGTTCGTGGGTTCGAGCCCCGCGTCGGGCTCTGTGCTGACTGCCAGCTCAGAGCCCGAAGCCTATTTCAGTCTGTGACTCCCTCTCTTTCTGACCCTCCCCTGCTCACGCTGTCTCTCTCTTTCTCTCTCTCTCCTAGAAATAAATAAAACATTAAAAAAAAAAAAAGAAAGAAACATAAACAAAAAAAAGTATCTTTCTTAGGAATATCAAAATGGCCATTTACTAAATTCACAAAGAACACCGTGTAAATAATGCCTTTTTCCAAGGAAGTCTGCACTGTAAGAAAGATATTAATAGAAGCATAGTCACTGCCGTTCCCAGAGCAAAAACCATGATGATAGGAGCAGGGAGCTGAGCTAGCATCTTATTCCCACCTACAAAAACTGCAACGGCAATTCTAGATGCTCACCCGAGCCACTATATTTCAGAACTGCTTTTTCCCCCACCTGTTGAACTGGGTCCTAGGCCTCTTTTTTAAAATCTCTCAACACAGGAGGAAACCTCACCTGTCAGGAAGGGTGGGCCTGCTCCCAGAGAAGAACTCTGATTATGCTTTGTGGTCACTGTAACAACAGAGGTTATGTCTCCAATGGGATGACGTCATTTACTAAGTCAGCACTCCTTAGCTGATGTCTAGATCATGGCAAAAGTGTACTTACCAGTCTCCTTGAATCCTATTTCTTATCACTTACTATTTATTCCAGGCAGAGGAGCAGTTGTGATTATTGGGGGCGTACCACCTGGCACGAAGGGAACATTCACAACCAAAGTTGTTCATTCCTTGGTACTCAAAAACCTTTCTGGGTCTTCCCTTTCTATAGGATGAAGTCAAACTTCCTCCTTGGGGTTCCTGGCCCCAGATAATCTTACATCATGTTATGCTTCTCCTTCTCCACCTCCCATTCGGTCCCAAGAATAACATTCCACTATACATTTTTCAAACACAATGGGCTTGTTCCCACCTCTGAGACAGCTCATGTATGATCCCTGCTGATCTCCTCTGTCTGACCAAATCTGCCCATGTTTTGCTCTTTAAATCTTTTTTTTTTTTTTTTTTTTAACAAATAGTTTATTGTCAAGTTGGTTTCCATATAACACCCAGTGCTCATCCCCACAAGTGCCCTCCTCCATGCCCATCACTCCATGCCCTCAGTTTGTTCTCAGCATTCAAGAGTCTCTCATGGTTTGCCTCCCCCTCTTCCCCACTATTTCCCCCCTTCTTCTCCCCCTTGGTCCTCCGTTAAGTTCCTCCTAATCCTCCTATACGTGCAAACATATAGTATCTGTCCTCTGTCTGACTTATTTCACTTAGCATAACACCTTCAAGTTCCATCCATGTTGCTACCCATGGCCAGATTTCATTCCTTCTCATTGCCATGTAGTATTCCATTGTATAGATAAACCACATCTTCTTGATCCATTCGTCCGTTGATGGACACTTAGGCTCTTTCCATGTTTTGGCTATTGTTGAGAGTGCTGTTATGAACTGCTCTTTAAATCCTAATTCCTTTAGAAGTCCTCCTGGGAAACTGCTGTCTCTACTCCACTCATTCTCCTCTAAATCCCTATAGCACTACTACTACCACTGCCACTTAGTAGTTTATTAAATTGTACACAATCCCATTATATAGATGACTAGTCCAACAGTTCAAGATGATCGACTAACTTAACTGCCAGGTCAGGTGAGTGAGAAGACAAACTCCTACAGTGGAACATATATATGGATATACGTATGTATCTGCATCCCACCCCTGGCCTGAGTAATAACTAACACAGGCCTATGAACATGGTAGGAACTCAAAGCTAGTTAGACAAATGAAATAACAGACAGTGGCAATTAAATGAAGTCCTTGGGAATTCTTTTACTCTTTTGATGGAGTTAGCCCATACATTTCCTGGGCTCAAATCCCCTCTTCTTAGGGGGAATCCTATGACTTCCAGGGACTTAGATCTCCATTTAATAAAACATTAGCATAGTCTAAAAAATAACATATTCCCTTAAGTATTTAAAGTATTTCCATTGTTTTTCTTGTGATGCAAGGAATTCAAAAAGGAATTCTTCAAAAGGATTTAGAAATCAAGATCTAAAAATCTGTACAATAAAAAAATAGTATGTTATACCAAATTGGACAGTTTTCCATTTGTCTATACTCAAATAGACACAACGGTGTGGTGGGGAAAATGGTTGTTTCTCAGGACTTGACAAGTAGGGCTTTACATGCTCTTTTGCAGGTAATTCGCATCTTCTTTCTAGGGTCATAATTTTTTTTTAGCCAAACATACACAATTTCCTGCCTCATAAAAGTAATACTTTCTTATATTTGCTTCCCACTTGAGTAAAAAATGAACATTCTCCATCAAAACAATGCTTCTTCTTCATAATGTACAGCTGACTATCCAGAAAAGATTCAGCAAAATGCAATGACCCTAAATCTATCATACTCACCAAAATACAGCAACTTTCCAGTCTTCTGCAAGTCCCACTGCTCATCAGCAAAAAGGCTAAGTGTCATTCTTTCCTCCAAGGGTCCCTGGTCTCTGATTAACAGCGTTCTCCCTTGTTCCATCCAGGTGATCAAATCTGGCTTGGAAAAAACACCACCTGCAAAGAGAGTCCACACAGGCCCAATCTGGATTTATCTGAGTACTTCGCTGAACATGATTTTCACAGCTGACTTTGATTCCTGAAGGCAGGACATCAACATTATGTTAAAAAAAAAATTGAAACCCTTGAAATTAATGAATGACAACAAAACCTAGCTAAACCAGGACTGCTTAGCTTAAATGTTCTCTGCAATGTTTCACAAAATTAAAGGAAATGGAGAAGCTAAAGACAATTATTTTTATTTTTATTTTAATGTTTATTTTTGAGAGAGAGAGAGAGAGAGAGAGAATGGGGTAGGAAAGAGAGGGAGGAAGACACAGAGGCCGAAGCAGGTTCCAGGCTCTGAGCTGTCAGCACAGAGCCCAGTGTGGGGCTTGAACCCACAAACCGTGACATCACGACCTGAGCCGAATTCAGACACCTAACCAACTGAACCACCCAGGTGCCCTGGGACAATGATTTTTAAAAGGCCAAAAGATCCAGGCAGAAAGTCTTAAAAAAAAATGATCATTATGAGAACGATGTGAGTGCAATGAAAAGCAAAATCACAGGAGGTCAAGGAGGGAGCCTGATCACCAGACTCCCCATATCCAAGGAGACTAACTACTTTTTTTTTTTTAATGTTTTTATTTATTTCTGAGAGAGAGAGAGACAGCGTAAACAGGGCAGGGTCAGAGAGAGAGGGAGTCACAGAATCTGAAGCAGGCTCCAGGCTCTGAGCTAGCTGTCAGCACAGAACCCGATGCGGGGCTCAAACCCAGGAACTGTGAGATCATGACCTGAGCTGAAGTCGGACGCTAACTGACTGAGCCACCAGGCGCCCCTAAGGAGACTAACTACTGAGGTGCAGTGAAGGAACCAGAAGCTGTTAAATGATGGCAGTTACGAATGGGGAGAGAGTAATGTGTCCTATGACATAAGTGTGAAGGGAAGAAGGGTAGTTCTAAAGTAAAGGAGTGACTTTAGAAGATACAATGGACGCTCTGTGGTAGCGTCACCTACTGCTCAAACCTTGGATCAGTGCTCTTCAAAGCGAACCGGTTACCGCCAGCACTGGCAGCACCTGAAGGGCTTGTTAAAAATGTGGACTCCTGGGCCTCAGGCTGGACCTGCTAAATCCTAATCTCTGGGCATGATAGCTGGATGCCCTGTAAAGGAAATCATTTATAAATAACACCCTTTGGGTTTTAAAAAGTGGGAAAATCAGACTGGATTTTCCCAGCCCAAGGACACCAGTTGTGATCATTCCCGTCTCAACCTTGGATAAGCATGTAGCTCTCATTTCTCCTGCTGTACTGGACTGAGACTGCTGTGCTTGAGCTCCAAATGCTGAGGTGTCCCGGGGCTCTGTCCTGTCTACGTATTCTCCCTAGATGATCCCCCCCTAACCCTGAGATTTAAATACCATCTTGGGGTGCCTGGGTGGCTCAGTTGGTTGAGCGTCTGACTTTGGCTCAGGCCATGATCTTGCAGTTGGTGAGTATGAGCCCTGTGTGGGGCTTTGAGCTGACAGCTCAGAGTCGAGCCTCCTTTGGATTTGGTGTCTCTCTCTCTCTGCCCCTTCCCTGCTCATACACTGTCTCTCTCTCTCAGAAATAAACATCAAATCGGTCTGTCTCTCAAAAATAAATAAATGTAAAAATAAAACTTAAGGGGTGCCTGGGTGGCTCCGTTGGTTAAGTGTCCGACTTAGGCTCAGGTCATAGTCTTATGGTTTGTCAGTTCGAGCCTGGCATCAGCCTCTGTGCTGACAGCTCAGAGCCTGCAGCCTGCTTCGGATTCTGTGTCTCCTTCTCTCTCTGCCCTTCCCCCGCTCATGTTCTCTGCCTCTCTCCCTCTCAAAAAATAAACATTAAAATAAATAAGTAAATAAACATTAAAAAAAATTTTTTTAAACACCGTCTATACAGTGACTCCAAATTTGTGAATCCAATCCCAATCTTCACTTACAATTCCACTCTTGCATACCCAATTATATATATTTCCATATAAATGTCTAATAAACATCTCAAACTTAAGGCCCTCTCCCCAAGTGTTCCTCATGTCACTGAATGAAGCCATTGCCTTCAACATACTCAAACCAAAAAATCTAGGAGTTGATTCTTCTTTCCCTCTCAGGCTCCAAATCCAATCCACCAGCAAAATCTGGGACGCTACCGCCAAAAGACATTCAGAGCCTGTCTACTTCTACCTTTATTATTACCTATTAGGTTCAGCTGCCAGAAAGCTTCACCTGCACTGCTCAGGTTCTCGGCTGGTGTCTCTCCTTTCACTGCTGTGGACCACAATTCATTCTCCCCATGGCAACCCAAGAAATTAATTGTTACAACAGATTTTGTCTTATCGCTCCCATCTAAGTCTTCTCATCACCTTCCCTTTGTCTACAGAATTTAATCGAACTCTGTACCTTGGACTAGAGGCTCCTTCCAGATCTGGTACCACTGTTCTCATCTCCTAGCCTTCTACACATGTGCCACTGTAGCCTTAGTGTGGTTCCCATCACATACTGAGCTCATGCATTCCAACCCTTGAACTTCTGCACTAATCTTTCCTCTGCTTAGAATTTCCTTCTCTCTGATTTCACACAACTGACTCATCTTGTCATCCCTATCTGAGATAGAAGAGCTTATAAACCCCAAAGAAGGGAGAGAATCCTACAGGCTATATTGAGATCACCTATTAAATTGGTAACAGTAGAAATGGTTTTGATGATGTAAGAATGAGTTAGAGCATGTTGGATAAACAGTAAAGTATAATCTCAACTTTCTCTTCAAATCTACCCCCTGAGTACTTCTCTGGGGATACTGACATGTCCCATCCCATCGCCCTTTCTCTCTCAAGCAGGCAACTTTTTCCTCAGTTCTTACGAGGATAGAAAATTCATCTTGTGTAGGCAATATAAGTAGACACCAAAGTTTATCAGTTAAGAAAAAATAGGATACACTTAAAAGAAAAAGAGAGAGAGAGGCAATTAGATTATTTAGTAATTCTAACTGTGGGAGAAACAAAGGAGGATTTGGGTGACAGAAAATTCAGAATTATTATTATTATTATTATTTTAAATATTTTTATTTATTTTTAGGAGAGAGAGAGACAGCGTGAGAAAGGGAGGGTCAGAGAGAGAGGGAGATACAGACTCTGAAACAGGCTCCAGTCTCTGCGCTGGCAGTCAGCACAGAGCCCAACGCGGGGCTCGAACCCACGAACCGCGAGATCACGACCTAAGCGAAAGTCGGACGCTTAACCGACTAAGCCACCCAGGCGCCCCTAGAGAATTCAGAATTATTAAGACTGAGGGGATGCAGATACCACTAGATAAAAAAGGGACAAGTTCAATATTCCCACACCATAATAGGAGGTTAAGGAGATATTCTAAGTGTAAATTGGGCACAGAATCATACTCAACCAGCCAGTAGCTAATACAGAGTGGAAAGCCTATTAGTATTAGACTGGTTCCCCAAAAATGATTTCTTTGAAGCCAATCCTACCCAGGGAATCAAGAGTCTCATAATTGCTCTTCATCACTTGCTGATACATTTCCTTCTGCCACTTCTCCAGGATCTCCCACTCTTGTTCCGAAAAATATAAAGCCACATCATCAAATGTCATGGTTACCTGGAATCACAAAGAGTACATACACATGTTCACTTTCAGGCTACCATCTTTCAATGTCCGTGTCTTTAAGAGACAAGAATAAACTCTATTAAAATCTCATTCTTGGGCACCTGGCTGGTTCAACTGGTGGAGCATGCAACTCTAGATCTCAGGGTTGTAAGTTCGAGCCCCATCGGGGTGTAGAGATTGCCTGAAAATAAAATCATACAGGGGCACCTGGGTGGCTCAGTTGGTTAAGCGTTGGACTTCGGCTCAGGTCATGATCTCAGGGTATGTTGGTTTGAGCCCCACGTTGGGCTCTGTGCTGACAGCTCTGACAGCTCAAAGCCTGGGGCCTGCTTCAGATTCTGTGTCTCCCTCTTTCTCTGTCCCTCCCTCTCTTGTGTGCTCTCTCTCTCTCTCAAAAATGAATAAACATCAAAAAAATTTTTTTAAGAAAATCATATATATATGATTATATATAATATATACAGTCTATCGTTCTCTCTGGATGGTGCCATGAACAATGTAATAAAGGGGTCACAGAAGTCTATTTGGCCCACATAGTGAATTAACGACCAGCAGGGCTTTGAACACATGCACCACCTAATGCGGGATCCTTTACTTAGCAGCAACCAATTATTGGTATGCAACACTTTTAAGAAACCTTTTATTTTGAAATAATTATAGACTCAGGAAGTTGCAAATATAGTATAGTAGGGAAAGGTTCCCTGTGTCCTATATCTGTTGGGGGAGGAGGCGAGAAGCAGAAGGGGAAAATATGCATTACATTAGTAAGATGATTAGATATAAAAATTTCAGTAAGGGTAGAAGCAAAACTTGGATACCAGGCAGGTGATACTTAGTTGAACTGAACAGAGTTTCTGGGTTAAGCTCAAGATATGCCTATTAAACTCTAAAACTGGTGTTCAAATTTTCCATTAGCCACCCCAACTGTTTTCGAATTTTCTGTCATTTCCTAGAGGCAACAACAGTCTCCAGTTCCTCTGATTCCCCGTCTTCCTTCCCCTTTTTTTCATCCGTTCATACAGATGAGCTTCTCGGAGGCTACATTCATCAGCAGAGCACAGAACGAGAAACCAAAGAACCCCGACACAGGGAGGGAGCGGCGGGTGACAAGAGGGGACGATTGGTTAGACCCTGAATTTCTCCAGGTGACCCCTCGCTTCCTAGACCACTGCAGAAACAACTTGACCACCAAAACCGCCCCTTTACCGGCTGGGGACTCCGAGCTCAGTCGTGGGTCACGGACAGTCGCCCGCCACCTCACTGCCCGAATCGGGACCCCACTCCAGACCGCGACAGGGACGAGTTTCGACAGGCCCCGCATCCTCCACGGACCCTCTTACCGGAGCCAGCTCAGCCATGGCCCTTCACGGTCCCCGCCTCCGCGTTCACCTCTCTGCCAGAGACGCCGGGCGCCCGGGCGACCGCGCCGCACCTCCCCCAGCGCGCGGCCTCCCACCCCGCCCAGCCTCGCAGGCCCCGCCCCCCGCGCGGTGCACGCTGGGACTCGCTTTCGGTTCCGCCCCACAGCGCCCTCTGCGGCCAGGAGGAGTCAGCGCCGCCTGCACGTCCCCGCGCTCGGCCGTTCGGGGTCTCCAAGCGAGGAAAATGGAGACCTAGAGGCACTGAAAGAAGCTGCAGACAAGGAGCCGCAGAGGTGGACCTGCGGCGTCAGCTGCAAGTAGGGAGGAAACTCCCTCTTCGCAGAGCCCGGAACGGAGAGGGGTGCGGGGCTGGTTTCTCCCGAAGCGGATCCCAGGCGAGGGGAGGATTCATATGTGAGACCATCCTGAGAATGAAGCAAGGGAGGTGAGCTGACCAGGAAGGTCAATGAGCAGGTCCCCTGCAGGTCCCCGCCGTGGGCTATGGGGAGTCCGTCCTGCCGGGGATTCTGAGAGTCTGCAGACCACTCCCCTCGCCTCCCCCCCATCAGAATCCTCCCGCCAGGGTTCCAGAAGGCTGGGAACTCTTCCACCAAATCCTGCCCTTCAGTGAGGTCACTTCTGGTCTACCTTGGATACTGGCCGAGCCCGTATTTAACAGTAGGTTTTGTAGATACACTTCAGGATGAGAGCGTTCTCTTCTGTTTCTACTTTGCTGAGAGTTTATATTGTGAGTGGGTGTTTTGTTTTGTCCAAAGCTTTTTCTGCATCAATTTATAGTTTTATGTAGTTTTTCTCTCTTAAGCAATTAATACGGTTGATTAGATAGATTGATTTCTGAACATTGAACCAGCCTTGCATTCCTGCCATAAACCTTACAGTGAAGAACTGTGGAGGGTTGAAATGCTACTCATCTTACAAGCTAACAAATCAGCCTGCCATAGTTTCATAGGCGTTGGCAAAAGTCAAAACTCATGGGTCATAGGCAGCTTGAGCTTTATGTTCACATCATTACCTGGCCCCCAAGTCCCACCGGGATGATGTGGGGCGGCCCAGGTGGATGCTGCACACATAATGGGTTTGTGTCGCAGGTAAGGAACCCAAACCTGCATTGCCACTCTTACAGTAGAGCTGTTAGCAATTTGCTCTACTACTCTGATAATCTTTTATTTTATTAATAACTACAGTAAATGTCTATTAAAATATTTGGATTTAGATCTATTGCTTTAAATTTTTCATGTTTATTATTGAGACAGAAACAGAGCATGAGTGGGGGAAGGGCAGAGAGAGAGGGAGACACAGAATCTGAAGCATGCTCCAGGTTATGAGCTGTCAGCACAGAGCCCTATGTGGGGGTCAGACCGACAAGCTGTGAGATCATGACCTGAGCCAAAGTCTGATGCTTAACCGACTGAGCTGCCCAGATGCCCCTTAGATCTGTTATTTTATTACTAGTCTTCTGCTTTTCTTTTCTGTTTTTCATGTCTCTGTTTTCTCTTCTGGGTTATTTGAACCTGTTTTAGCATTGCATTTTAATTTACTTGTTATAATTTTCACTGTGCCTTTTTATTTCTTATTTTATTTATTCATAAGTAAAGAGAATCCCAAGCATGCTTCACACTGTCAGCACAGAGCAAGATGTGGGGATCGAACTCACAAACTATGACATCATGACCTGAGCCAAATTCCAGAGTTGGGGGCTTAACTGATGGAGCCACCTACATCCCCCTAACTATATCTTTTTATATTCTATTTTGAAGATGCTTTAGGAAATATAAAATACATGTTTCATTTTCTTTTACTTTTTTTAAAGTTTATTTATTTTGAGAGAGGCAGGGGAGGGGCAGAGAGAAGCAGAGAGAGATTCCCAAGCAGTTGCACACACGGTCAGTGTGCAGAGCCCAATGTGGGGCTCGAACCCATGAAACTGAGATCATGCCCTCGGCCGAAATCAAGTGAGTTGCTTAACAAACTGAGCCACTCAGGGACCCCTAATTTTCTTTTACTTTTTTTAAAAAAAGCAGCTTTATTGGGATATAATTAATATGCCATACATTTTCCCCATTTAAAGAGTACAGTTCAATGACTTTTAGTGTATTCACTGCTTCTTCCTTTTTTTCTTTCTTATTTAATTAATAGATTTTTAAAAAGTCAGTTTTAAACTTACAGAAAAATGAGAGGCACCTGGGTGGCTCAGTCTCTTGAGTGTCCAACTTCTGCTCAGGTCATGATCTCCCAGTTTGTGGGTTCAGGACCTGTGTCGGGCTCTGTGCTGACAGCTCAGAGCCTGGCGCCTGCTTCAGATTCTGTGTCTCCCTCTCTCTCTGCCCCTTTCCCATACATGCTCTTTCTCTCTCTTTCTCAAACATAAATAAACAAAAAAAACGTTTTAAACAAACAATATAACAAGAGACAAGGAAGGACACCATATAATAAATAAAGGGGACAATCCAATAAGAAGATATAGCAATTGTAAATATTTATGGACGCACTTTGGGGGTACTCAGATATATACGTTAGTAACAAAACTAAAAGAACTAATTGATATTACAGTAATAGTAGGGAACTTCAACACCTCACTTAATGACATTAATTATTTCTTTTCTTTTTAGAAAGTTTTTTAATGTTTATTTTTGAGAGAGAGACAGAGGGACAGAGCACAAGCAGGGCAGGGAGAGAGAAAGGCAGGGAGACACAGAATTCAAAGCAGGCTCCAGGCTCTGAGCTGTCACTACAGAGCCTGATGTGGGGCTCGAACTCATTGACTGAGAGATAATGACCTGAACTGAAGTCAGACACTTAACCAACTGAGCTACTCAGGCACTCTATTTTTTTTTTTTTTTTTTTTTTGAGAGAGAGAGAGAGGGCACAAATGAGCAAGGAGCAGAGAGAGAGAGGAAGAGAGACAGAAGCAGGGCTCACCCAATGTGAGACTCGAGCTCACCTGATGTGAGTCTTAAACTTATAAAACATGAGATCATGATCTGAGCCAAAGTCAGATTATTAACCAACTGAGGCACTCAGACGCCCTAATGGACATAGCAGCTAAACAGAAAATCAACAAGGAAACAATGGCTTTGGTTTTTTTTTTTTAATGTTTATTTATTTTTGAGAGAGAGAGTAGGGGAAGGGAATAGAGAGAGGGAGACAGAGAATCCCAAGCAGGCTCTGCACTATCAGCATAGAGCCCAACGTGGGGAGCAAGCTCACAAACCATGAGACCATGACCTGAGCTAAAATCAAGTCAGATTCTTACCCGACTGAGGCACCCGGGCACTCCAGGGAGACATTGACTTTGAATGACACACTGGACCAGATGGGTTTAACAGATATAGTCAGAACATTTCATCCTAAAATAGCAGAATACACATTCTTTTCTGGTGTACATGGAACATTCTCCAGAATAGATCACATACTAGACCACAAAAGAGTGAAGTCATACTATGCATCTTTTCTAACCACAATCCCATGAAACTAGAAGGCAACCACAAGAAAAAAATCTGGAAAGACCACAAATACATGGAAATTAAACAACATGCTACTAAACAAATGAGTCAACCAGGAAATAAAGAAGAAATTAAAAAATACATGAAAAAAAAGAAAATGAAAACAATGGTTCAAAACCTCTGGAATGCTGCACAAGTATTCCTAAGAGGGAGGTTTATAAAAATATAGTTTTATGTCAAGAAGCAAGAAAAATCTCAAATAAACAGCCTAACTTTGTGCCTAAAGGAGCTAGAAAAAGAACAACAACAATAACAACAACAACAAACCTAAAACCAGCAGAAGGAAGGAAATAATAAAGATTAGAGCAGAAATACATGATGTAGAAACTAAAAAACAAAAGAAAACCAATAGCGCAGATAATGAAACCAGGAGCTGGTTCACTGGAAAAATCAATAATATTGATAAACCTCTAGCCAGACTTACCAAGAAGAGAAAGGACTCAAATAAATAAAATCACAAATGAGAGAGGAGAAATAACAACCAACACCATAGAAATACAAACAATCATAAAAGAGTATTATGAAAAACACTATGGCAGCAAATTGGACAACCTGGGAAAAATGGATAGTTTTTTAGGAACATGAAAACTACCAGAATGGAAACAGGAAGAAATAGAAAATTTGAATGGACTGAAAGCCAGGAACAAAGTTGAATTAGTAATCAAAAAACTCCAAACAAATAAAAATCCAGAACCAGATGGCTTCACAAATGAATTCTGCCAAACATTTAAAGAAGAGTTAATACTTATTCTTCTCAAACTACTCCAAAAAATAGAGAAAGAAGAAAAACTTCCAAATTCATTCCATGAAGCCAGCATTATTCTGATACCAAAACTAGATAAAGACAGCATAAGAAAAAAAAAGTACAGACCAATATCTCTGATGAACATAGATGTAAAAATCTTCAACAAAATAGTGACAAATCAAATCCCAAAATACGTTTAAAAAATCATTCACCACAATCAAGTGGAATTTATTCCTGGTTTGCAGGGATGTTTCAGTATTTGCAAATCAATCACAATATATCAATCACATCAATAGGAGAAAAGGTAAGAACCATATGATCATTTCAATAGACACAAAAAGCATTTGAGGGAGTACAACATCCATTCATGATAAAAACCCTCAGGAAAGTAGGTTTAGAGAGAACATACCTCAACATAATAATGGCCGTCTATGAAAAACCCACAACTAACATTGTCCTTAATGGGGAAAAACTGAGAGCCTTTCCTCCAAGGTCAGGAACAAGACAAGGATGTCCACTGTCACTGCTTTCATTCAACATAGTACTGGAAGTTCTAGCCACAGAAAATCACACAACAAAAAGAAAAGGCATCCAGAGGGGCGCCTGGGTGGCTTAGTCGGTTAAGCGTCCGACTTTTGACTTTCACTTAGGTCATGATCTCGTGGTTCGTGGGTTCGAGCTCCGCGTCGGGCTCTGCTGACTGCCAGCTCAGAGCCTGGAGCCTGTTTCAGTCTGTGACTCCCTCTCTCTCTGACCCTCCCCTGCTCACGCTGTCTCTCTCTCTATCTCCTA